ACCGGTAAGGCGGGGACTCGCCGCTCATATTAGCATATCGGGGCGGGGCCTCTTGTGTTGGAGGCGGGGCGAGTTAGCACAGATTCTCCGGGAACGAGAATGGAGGGTCCTAGGGAAGGGCGGAGGTTCCCAGCTCCACGCGGAGCCTCCGGCTCTCCTTTCCCTGGGCCCGTTTTCCTACTTGGCTATGTATCGGTTGCTGATGATCAGATCCCCCAGGGCACCCTCCCGCCACCAAAGAGAAAGCCCTCCTGCCTGGACAGACTGGCCCTCGACCTTGTCCTCACTAAATCTGGCCTCACGCTGTCCCCCGACCCGACGACTCTCTGGGGTCTCTGCACCTGCCCTGGCCCCAGGAGTAACTTAGGGGTGAGGGGGGTTCCCAGTACGGAAGCAGCGGGAGCAGAGGAGTCCGGGGTGAGGAGTTTATTTTCTCTCTGGAGGGCTCTTCAGGACGAGCAGCCCCCGGCTGCTCAAGCTGTGGAGAGAGAAGGTGATCAGGGCCTGGCCGGACCCGGGGGACATCAGAACGCTCAGGCAGGGCAGGCCAGGAGGGGAAGGGTCGTGGGGGCCGGGGAGGAACCCCACCGGAAGGGAAGGCACCGTTCTTGCTGAAAGGCGGCGGGTCCCAATGGGGCTCTGTGTCCCAGGAAGGGAGCCCAGGGCTCAGGCACCGGTGTCCCCTGTGGCCTGTGGGAGAGACAGGTGCAACTCTGGGTGCTCAGGCAGGAACCCTGAATGTGACCCTTAGTAAGCTCCGAACATGGCCCTGGTGTCCCTGGAGGTTACACCACAGGGAACCATTGTGGGGATTCCTCAAAGAACTAAAGCCAGAAATTCCACTTAACCCAGCTCTTCCCCTTCTAGGGATCTGCCTAAAGAGAGTTAAAGTCACTGCATCACAGTGATCCGTGCACACCCATGTTTCTAGCAGCACAGTTCATGACGGCTAAGTCTTGGAAGCAGCTTATGTGTCCCTGAATAGACGGGTGGACAAAGAGAGTGTGATATTCACCCAAGGTGGAGTACTACTCTGCCATAAAGAAGGATAAACTTGAGTCACCCGTGGGAAGAAGGATGCGTTGTGAGACCACGGTGCTAAGTGAAGCGAATCAGACACACGAGCTTAAGTAGCACATGCTTTGTCTTACGTGAGAAATGCAAAATATAAAGAACAGAACAAAAGACAGAGACCAGGAAGGGTGACGGAAAATGGGAAGGGGAATAAGAGGTGGAGGGAAAGGAGGACGGGACGGAAAGATAACGAAGATGTGCTATGTCCGTGCACCAACCCTACACAGCAATGCGATCACTCTGCACGGCAAACCTGTACAATGATTCGTGATCATGACTCCTATATCCTTTGAATATGACCCCAAATGGTGACTCCAGTGTACCCCACTTTTTTTGCACTGGGAATCGAACTCGGGACCTTATTGATTTTTTTTTTTTTTTTTTTTTTTTTTTTTTTTTTTTTTTTTTTTTTTTGGATACAGGGTCTTGATATGTAGTCCAGGTTGGCCTCGAACTCACAATGATCCTCCTGCCTCAGCCTCCCAACTGATTGCTGGAATTACAGGCCTGTGCCACTCCACCGTGTCCGTCTCCACCCACTCTTTAAAAAGATCAGAGGGACCCTGAATGTGATTTTGAGTGACCCCTGGATGAAACCTCCAGTAACACCTTATTGCAACCCCAGAACTTTACTTACTATGAGCAGAAAGGTGGGACCCCCGCCAAAGAACCTCTGCACCCAACCCCCCATAAATGAAGCTGACATTCAGCCCCTCACCCCTGAGGCTGGAGGCCGCGCGGGGCGCCTCTGAGGACATGGTAAGACCATCAATGGAATTCTGCAGCCCGCGGATGGCGGACCTGCCGAGAGACAGAGAGATGGGGTCACTCAGGGGACCCCTGACTGCTCAGGGTTGGGACAGCAGCAGCTCTGAGGCCAGGGAGCCATTGTAGGGTGAGTACTGGGAGGAGCAAGAAGTCCGGGTTCCGGAAGTTGGAGATGGAGCGGAATGGATGAGAGGAGGGTCAGGGGTCAGGGGTCAGGGGTCAGCCTGGGGCCGGGCATCACCATATGTCACTCAGTTCTTTCTGGAGGTCGTCCTTCCAGCCGTCGCTTCCTGGCACTGCCTCCTCGGCCTCGGGACAGGCAGATGGCTCATATCCCTGCTGCTGCTGCTGCTGCTGCTGCTGCATCTTTGTCAGGACCTGGGGCCCGGGGGGATGAGAAATCAGCCACAAACACGACGATGGTGGACGGTGCCCACTGCGTGCAGCACTTACTCTACACCAGGCGGCAGTCAAGCCCTCAGTTAAGCAAGCTGCTCAGTCAGGAAGGGAGCGTCTCCATTCTACCCATTATCCAGACAAATGCACTGAGCCCCAGAGAGGCAAAGTGACTTGCCCGGGGTCGCACAGCGCTGGGTGGCAGGGCTGGGGGTTGAGCCCGGCCTGCGGTCTGATGGTGCAGGCTGGCGGAGACTCCCCCGCCACCTCCTGCAGGGTCCCCTTACCTCCACCGCGACCCTTCACCTGCGTTCGCTGCATCTTCTGGATGTTTGAGAGGTTCTCTGCGATCCCGTCCTCCTTGGCCTCTGTGGGGGGGACTGGGGCTCAGGGGCCAGGGGCGGCGGAACAGCCCCCCTGCGGGTGGTGGGGTGCGGGCACTCACACAGCTTCTGGTAGATGAAGGTCACCTCCTCCCGCACCAGCTCCAACTCCTCCCACAGGAACTTCTTGCTGAGGGGACGGGGCTGTGAGACCAACCCTGCCCACCCCGAGCCTCCTCCATGGCTGTGTCCCCATCTGTCCAACCACCCGTCCCCCGGGCTCCGTCCCCC